ACAGCGAAAAGCTTATTCATGAGGCGCGCCCGACCAAGCGCGACCGCTGGGCACTCGTCGGCTGGTTCATGGAGGCGCCCACAAAACGTCACAAAGCATAACTCGAGCAGTATGACAGATTCCTCAATGCTGTAAAGTCGCTATCACCTCGTCGCACTTCTAGATCATGAAGCCTGGCTGCATCTGCACCACAACGTCATGCGCACTAGAACTGGATGAGACAAATTGTGAACTTTATTTCGGTGTCGTGGGAGACTGGTGCATGGGGACTCTGGATGGGCCGATCTTCTCGTCAAACAGTGCTACGTGTACCTTTCCTTGAGACGGGCCGTGCACATACATGTTCATCGGAGAGCATTGCACGACTCGTATGACAATATTGATTGTAAAACAGACAATATTAGCTCATAGCACGCTTTGACGGGAGACGCTCGACCATCATGATTTGCCAGCTCTTCCACTGGGTGCGTTCGTCTTCGACGAGCATGTTCAAGCGCGACGTGGCTAAAAAGACGCAGATGAGGGCAACATAGAGTACCAGCGCGATCCATTGGAGCAGCGACGGCAAGTCATCGATGCAGTAGGCGACATACATGAGCCCGCCACCGGAAAAGAGGTGCGTCCCTGGTGCCGCGACCCCCGGCGACGCGAGGTCATGCTTGGTAACGATGGCGTCAAGCTCTGACATCGTCGTCGGGTGGTCGAGGTTGTAGGCAGAGACGTCGATGGCCTTGGGTGCGTAGAGCCAGCGAGGCGCGCAGTCGATCCACTGGGACGCGTACAAGACGACGGCGCCAAAGCAGCCAAGAGCAACTTGCAGCGACGATGGCATCTCTCGAATGGCGATCGTCCTGCAAATATGCGTTGTCGGAGGTTTACAACCGGTCGGCATGTACTGTCTACAAAGGGGTACGATGTACAATGTACGCTATCTTTCAGTATGTATCGCACGTGACACCGTACAGTACGTAGTCGGACATGGCCATATCAACGTACATTGTGTGTGCTCGCATTTTCCCTTTCAAGCGCGCCAGATGATGGACAACAACGTGCTCGCGCAAATCCAAGTCGTTGTCTTTGGTGGAGCGTGCATCGTGATGCTAGCCGCCATGTGCGTGGGCACGCGCTGCTTCAAGGTACCCGCAAGAGCATCGACGACCAACAACGATCTCAGCGACAGCGACGAGACGGTGGTCGAGGCCGCCATTCTGCGCGGCTGGCGACGCTTGTTTCACCACCTCGATCTCTACTGCCGTCGCATTTACTGCACGAGCTTTGCTATCATCTTTGCGGCCGTCGCATCGTCGTCCACGATTTCATGGGTGCCCTACGTGAGCCTGGGTGCGCATCCCGTCGTTGTTTTCCACGCGTGGAAGGTTCTCACGCACGCGCTTAGCCGCGACGCCGCACAAAACGACGTGGAGCACTGGGAAAGAGTCCGCAATACGATTCGTGTCCATAATGATCCGTGTCCGTCGGGCTAACTAAGATGTATAAAGTTTTCCATTTGATACATGCATCTTTGTTTTGTATGATTGTGTTTAATCCTATACGTCGCGCCGTCACGGTCACAAAAGCGACTCGTTGTATTACTCAGCGCGGTGCGCCTTGCAGGCAAGGCGGTCGACCATGCGTTCGCGCCAGTCCTTCCACTGACGCTGCTCGTTCTGCAGTAGTAACTCACTGCGGACCGTCGCAATGTACTTGAACGCGCAGTAGAGAAAGGCCACTACCAAACACGGAACCAATACGTCGGGCACGTCAAACTCGAGCGTGACTACGCAGGCCATGAGGCCAAGCAATGGACCAAGAGACGACAGTGGCGCCTTGGCGAGAATGAGCGCGTCATCGTGTGCTTCGGCAATCTCGTCAATCTCCTTCTTGGTCGACACCGCCGCGTGGGATGCCGTGTCGATACGCTGGGGCGAGAAGAGACAGTGCGGCGCGTGGTCGAGCCAAAGTGCGGCATACACTACAGCGGCCGCTGCGCCGCGAAGGAC